AGAGTTATTAGAATAATAATGATAAAAACACAAATGGAGAAAATTATATATACGCGAAATTAAAAAAATTAAGGATTAAACAAAAGATAAAAGATCACGAATTTTTTTTTAAAATTTATAATAAAATAAGAAAATTCTAATGAACAATTAGGACAAGTTAATGCCCTTGAGCGATACATTAATTTAAAAAAAAAAATTTTTCAATGAAGCAAACCACAATGAAACAATTTTTTAGTCAACAAAAAGATAATTGTCAGCCAATCTTTTAACCATTCTTGAATAAATATTTCTTTGATTAATGCCCTACTTTTAACAATTGCAGCATTTCCCTAATATGCTTCAATAAATCCAATGAAACTGGAAAAGAAATTTTGAGAATTGAATGATGAAAAATATTTTATGATAATAAAGGATCATGAGGTGTCATTCATTCATCATTAATTACAATAAAAAAATGGAGTTTTTCATATATTAATATGGTATATACGATTCCCCACAGGTCGATTCCCGAAAACTCATCTCACAAACTAAACTGACTTAAACAGCTTGGCCGGCTAATAAATGGTCTTAACAGACTTAAACAGATTAGCCGGTCAATCAATTGGCTAACATCATCAGATATATTAATATTAATATGTCATTTCTTAATATTAACGGATAACGATAACGACATGATATGGTCGTGACAGGAAATAAAAAAATGTTATGATAAACTGATAGAATATATCTTGTCAGGGAAACATCCGCCCCCGGAAATCTTTTAATTTATAGAATTTGTACATATACTATTATTAGCAACGCGCTTTCAGGATGCGGAAACGCGTTGTTACTTCTGAACTATTACCAGTCGTATTAGTTAAATGGGTTGCATTGCATAAATAGGAAGTTAAAAAGTAGCTAAGGATTTTTGGAGGGAAGAAAATTTGGTTTCAAGTAGGATAAAGCACATTTTCAAATTGATACAAGAATCTACCCTTAAGTAGTAGAAATAGTAGAAAGAAGAGTTTTGTCATTATAGCAATAGGGTGTATAAATATTTAATAATGAAAAATCTAAAACTTAGTTATAAACTTAATCACGCTACCTAATACATATAAATAAATTAATCCAAAAAGCATTATATCGTTACTAGTGATTTTAATATAAATACGGATTGGTTCGAATCGAATCGAGTTATGTTTTTATTTGTTTGGAGCCTTTGTGACTTATTTAATGGAAAGGAATAATTATATAAAATGAATAATTATCGTATTATTATACAAAAGTAATAACTATAGAACAACCAACAGAAATTCTTTTAGTATGTGTATGTGCATTCGCTTCTCAATTTTATACAGACGTACAATTTCTTCCACAGGTGAGGGAATTAGTGGCTTTGGACAAGTGGGAGTCTCTTTGACAATGACAATGATTTCAATAAACTTCAGTGCCACGTATCCCCCTGAGTCATGATTATTGGACACACTAATCAGATTACGCAAAGAATTAATTTTTAAATTTCTCCATTGCTCTATATATCCCCAAAGGAAAGCACAAGGAGCCAATAATCATGCAGCGCAGATCATTTATTAGTGATAAGAAAATTTTGAAAATCTAAATAATCTCTTAAAAAATTTTAAAAAATAATAATGAGTAGATATAGAGGTGTTTGTCCACAATGTAAAACCAAAACTTGGTATCCAGATGCTATTGGTGGCATGATATGTAAATTTGGTCATCAACTTGTGGTATGGAAAATCAAACAACTAAACAATTATTAAAAAGTATTATATTTTAAATGATACATATATATATATATATGCATCATGATTTTAGAATTTTCAAGTTCAAGTGGGTGAATTATCAGGAATAGGTAGGATTAGAAGGTCTCATGGTCAAAAAAGGGGCAAATCATCATCATCTGGAGGTAAATAATTATAGTAAAATCAAAGTAGTTATAATCTTCAATCAATTAAATAATTAAATATTTTTTAACTGTTTTTTATTTATTTTTTTGCAGAAATGAAACTTGCACGGAATGACCCAAAAGAAAAAATTAAGCTTATATTATTAGCATTCCAATATTCATTAAGGTTACAATTGGACGCTTTAATTAATAAAATGGGATTTCCTCCAGAACTTGAAGTAATGAATTATACTTGTATGCATATATAATATTGTGATCTTTGTTCTTTTTTTTTAATCAAAAAAAATTTTTTTTAGCACGTAGTTCGACAATTATGGACACTTTATGTCAATAAACATAAGGCAATAGAAACTATTAAAAATTTATCTAGAAACAACACATATGAACTTGGAAATTTGCCAGAAGAGCCTGATGATGATAACATTGATGCATTATTTGATTTGGAGAGAAAGAGCATTGATGATGATGACAAATCTGATAAAAATAGCAATGATGATGATGGTGACAGTGATGATGGCGGCGATGGCGATAATGGTGATGATGATGATGACGATGATAGTGATGACGATGATAGCGATGATGACGATGATAATGATGGCGATGATGGCGATGATGACGATGATGGCGATGATGGTGATGGCGATAGTGATGACGATGACAAAACCAATGGTGATGATACTGATGATACTGACGATACTGACAAAATCAATAAAGTCGATGATGATGATGATTATGGTGATAACCAATTTATTGATGAAACTGTCAATTTTGAGATCTATATAGAAAACAAACGTAAAAAACGAAGGGAATTTCGTGAACTTTATGAATTAAAAGCAATTAATCTCTTGATTATTTTATATCTTGGTATGGCTTGGCTAAGATTACCAGTCACATTGTCGGATATTCACAGGTATTGTAATCCTTTTTATTTTATTATAATATATTTTATATATTTATTGATGATTTCAATTTTTTCAAATTACGTTTAGATGGGTTCTGAGTAAGGAACTGCCGTACTTGAATCTTCGTAAAGATTTACCTGACAGTATGAAATTACATCTTGGACTTTCTCGACTAAAAACTTTTGAACCTAGTGTAATCCTAAATTTCATGCTTGAATATCTTTACCTAAGATGTATTAATTAGTTATTATTGCCATTTATTAAAAAAAAATTATTATTTAGGATTTAGTACCGTGTTCAACTCTTCATAAATTAGAATATTCTTTTACGCAGGTTTATAAACTTCATTATGGGATTATTTTTCCTGAAATTAACATGCCATTAATATTGTATCAATACATTAGAGATCTGGTGCTACCAGGTAAATAATTATAATAATCATCCATTATTTTTTTTTTTTTTAAAAAAGCTATTTAACTAATTACGATTTTATCAAGTTGAATTTTATGTTATAACAAAAGAGTTGGGACAACTGTTAAATATAAATTTATATCCTGATCAAACATTTCAGACCAACAGACCAGTTGTTATTTTGATGGCATTACTTGTAATTGTTATAAAGATTGTTTATGGATTAGATGATGAAAATAGGTATGTATCATCATCATCATCACCATCATCATTATTATTATGGTAATTTTGATTATTAATAATCATTTATATATTTTTCTATACTATAAGAATTCCAAATAAATATGATAAATTCATGTATTACTTACCAACTTTTGATCAATGGGTCAAGAAATTAGGAGAAGTGCAACAAAACTTGTCTGATAATCGAATACCTTGGGAATATACGTAAGATAGCTTTTTTCTTTTTTTTAAAAAAAAAAAAGTAAAGATAGAAAGTATAAGACTTAAAAAAAAATATTGTATTTAACTAGCGATTTAAAAGAGTGGATAAACAAAAGTCCAGATACTTATGTAAAATATTGCGACGATTTTTTTCAAGAAAAAAACCGATTTGCGCCTAAACCATTGAATAGTAAAATGGAAAGGTTAAGAAAACGAGAAAGGGATCTTGAAGGTTTCTTTTATTTCAATTTTTATTTTTCAATAATTAATTAATATACACATGCATATATACACAACATTTATTTATAATAATATTTTTATAGAACAATACGAATTAGCAAAGCTGTTTAAACAAAACTCTGAAAACAAATTACCGCATATTGAATATTATATAAAATTAAAAAAACTTGAATATTTAAAATTTTTATTAAAAATCTGTTTAAAAAACAAAAAAGGAAATGATTCTGACGATATCGACAATGAGGATGAGAAAGAGACACAAGAAAGTTTACAAGATAAATTTAAAAGGTTTAAAATGTTTCAACGAATAAAATCACGTATAGGAAAATTGGAGAAGGAATTGAATGACTCGTTTATTAATGAAGCAAAGGATGATGTTGATGATGGTGTTGATAAAATGAAAATTGATAATAACGATGATCAAGTTGTATTTGATTGGAATAACAATGATAATAATAATAATAGTGGTAGTAATAGTAGTAGTAGCAGCAGTGTTAGTTACAAGGGAGAAAATGATGAAGAAACCCCAAATAAAGATGATTTATTGCTTATCGATATTACAGAAATTAAAGAAATGATAATAAATAGTAACATCAATTTGGAAAGTTTTTATATTAATACGGATGAACCTACAGTAGTCAATATTGAAGATCATTTACAAGAATTATTTTTTTGTGTTAAACCACCATCATCGTTATTAGCATCGTCATTAAATGAAGACAGAAAAGGGAAAAAGGCCGTTTACAACACTAAATCTGATGATGATAAGGCTGATGGTAATTCGAATCATTATTCTGATATTAATAGTAATAGAGATTATGAAATTGGAATGTCAAAAAATCCTGGAATACAAGATTTATTCTCACGGTATTCAACATTTTCATATAAAAAATATAAACAAGAAAACCGCAATATTGATAATTACAATACTAATCATATTTATTTGAGTGACGATGAAGATCATTATATCATTAACAAATATAGTAATATTAATCATAAAAGAATAGGACAAGATTACAAAACTTATCAAGTGTATGAGATGTACAGAGATAGATTAAAACTTAAAAAATCAGAATTGGCGGGTGAATATCACGAAGATTACGAAAGAGTCTTGTTGTTTTGTTCTAATATCGTTGGTGTTAATATGAAAACTTTACAAAAAAGTATCCAGGGATTTGAAACAAAATTGTTTGATATTATAAAAAATGGGGTTTAAAAAATCTAATTCTGATATATAATTTGATGTGTGTGTTGTTTTGTGACAATAATAATACTAGAACTGTTGCATTAGCCCTTTTCTTTACTAGTGAATTGAAGATTATCGTTTAAAAAGCTATTTGTTGATGTCATTTCCAATTATTATTGTTGGTGATACCATTTCTTTGGATATTGTAGTGGAAAATTTTAACAGGTCCTTTAATCAACGGTTCGTTAATTTCATGGTACGTTTATTTATACATTTAAAGCGGAAATCATGGCTCCTAAAAATTTGTCATTATTAATTAAACATCAATATATATATATATGTTAATCGCCATAAAGTTTTTTTAATAAATTTAAAATATGATTTAAGCTTCATCTAAAAGAGACAAATAAAAAAGTTTAAGTAATTTATAATAGGAATGATCTTCGTTGATTCGAAATTTAAAAAAAAAAAAAAAAATGTTTAAAAAGTAAAGAAAATATTATTATATTATTATGTAATTAATATTGTTATTTATTAAAAAAATTATTTCTTTTGGAAATAATCAAAAAGGTTTAACATTAAAGAAGATATAGCAAGTCAGTCACAATTAAAATCTTCAGTTCAACGTAATGTTAGAGCAAAACTTTTAGAACAATATAAAAACTTGGAACCAGTGCTTGAAGAAATATTACCAAAAAAATCACCTTTAGTTTTAATAAAATGGTAAGAATATATATACATATATATATATAACTAAAACTACCCAAAAATATGAATATTAATTATATTTAGAAATCTATAATTTTTTTAATAGTCATGAACATATCAATTTATTGACATTAAATAATGAAATACTTTTTTTTCAACATTTTGATGGACCTTATTATCCAACATTGAGATTAGTGCATAAATGTAATAATAATTATTTTTATCAAAATATATATATCTACATATTCTTTATTTTATATATATATACATACATATTCAATTAGATTATAAAAACAAATTTCTTTTAATTTATAATAAATATCTTTAGATCCAGATACTTTTCCAAAGTTACAAGTAGACAAAGGGGCAATTAAATTTATCCTTTCAGGAGCAAATATAATGTGTCCTGGTTTGACAAGTAAAGGTGCAAGGATTGATGAGGAATTGCCAGCTGAAGCAATTGTTAGTATATTTGCTGAAGGAAAAGAACATGCACTTGCTGTTGGCTTAACAAAAAAGTCAACAGAAGATATGTAAGACTTTTTTTAATTTGGTTTTTTCCTTAATGTATATGTGAAACTAACTATTTTTTTTGTTTTAGTAAAAAATTAAATAAGAATATTGGAGTTGAAAATATCCATTATCTAAATGATCCATTATGGAAAACTACTATAGAATCATAATAGCTAAAGAGATATATACATACACATATATAATATGTACACATTATACAATTCATGACCTTATTTTCAATTGGGTTTAAATAATTTAATGGGTGAATTGGTTAATGAAATTAGTTGGAAATTAATGAAATTTATTGAAGAATCATTTAATATTTTATTTAATTAAAAATATTAGACTTTTGAACTCACATTTTGTGTATTTCCAAATTCTCAAAAAAAAAAAAGTTTAGAATCTTTTATATATAAAAAAATAATAGATTTCATAACTTTACACAAATAAATAAATAATAAAGTTTCCTTTAAAAGAAAGATTTGTTTTTTTAATTTTGGACTATAGATGACATGCACCCTAGAATAAATAAATAATAATAAGGTTGAAAGTTTTCAATAATTTTTATTTGTATTTAAAATACTAAGATTGGCACTAACAACATCAGATTAGCTTTGTTGTACATACACGAGGGCATCTATGTTCTAATAAGGCACCCAGATAAGTTGGATGAATACAAATGTGCCATGCATGCAAATAAATAAATATAAAATAGTAAATTATAAATCACGGGAAACTAACTTATAAATCGGAAATGATTTACAAGTATTACGAAGTGAAAATTTGGAAGCGAATTATCACGGAATAACTCAACGAGAAATAAACCAGTCTAATTTATTAATGCTACACACTGATTAAAAATGGTGCACCAATAAAATAAATATGGTTGGCTCGGTCTATTGCTGCGCCATGTGGCCAAATTTCAAAAAATAGCAAATTTAGATATGATAGTTAAGAGCTAGTTTAAATTTAGTAATAATTTTCCTAAATTTAGAAATGATCATAGTGGACAAATTCCTCGCGAGCATAGTAAAGTACATGTTTTAAAAAAGAATAGAACTCTACAACAATTTTTTTGAGAAAATCTCTCTATCACATTAAAACTAAAAACACATTCTATCAACTAGTAGAGATATTTTTTTAAAAAGTAGGACAGAAAGTGACTTCTATACTTTTAAAATTTGCCCAAAATTTAGGAGGTTTTTAGACCGAGCCAACTATAATAATTCAATCCACCAAAAAATTGAAAGATGATGTTGCCGATCTGTATGAAAAAATTAAATGAAAATAAAAATAAAGATCCTTTGTGGCTTGTAGAGGCTTCAGTTGATATTTATATTAGTTGGCTTAATAGACTTTTCTGGATAAATCCTACACAAAAAAGAAACCGGAATAAATATAATGACATTGCAATTATACATTCAACATATAAAACAAATACATATAATTTAACATTATGTATTGTTGATGATGTTTGATCTATAATTTTCTGTCAAACATTGTTAGATCATGAAAATGTTGATTCATTCAATTGGTTTTTCAGTTGTATGAAAATGGGTTTTTAGGATTGCCAAGTTTGATTATGAGTGATTGTGATCCTTCCTTGGAATCATCAATTAAGATAATTTTGCAGAAACGAAACGTTATTTGTGTACCTTTCATATATACAACATTTTGTATAAAAATCAGAAACCAGCTCTGGAAAGACAATTCGTCAGTTGCATTTGATAGAATGTGGAATCAATTTATTCAAAAATCTTTTGGCAGAAATAACGTCAATTGCCTGAATAAGTATATCTATAATTCTAAAGAAAAATGGGGTTGGCCATGGAGATGCAGAGTAATGATGGCTGGTGTAAAAACAACATTAAGATTGGAAAGCTTGAAGGCCATTATAAAAAAGCAGTTGAATTCAAAGTCAAGCAAATCTTATTGAAACATTTGATATAATTGAAAATCATATTCAAAGATCTGCAGCTTACAAAGATATTACAAAAAATATAGAAAAAATATTTTTTTTTTGTCAATCCAGAGTTAAAATTGAGATAGCTTCTTCACAATCATATCACTTCTTGATGTCTTCTGTTGATGAAATTTTAGGCGCAATTAATGATAGTGATATTACCAACTTCATATCCACATTCACTACTGGCGAAAATAATATTACCTCCACCTCCACATCCATGAAAAACACTACTGGCGAAAATGGTAATATAACTGCCTCCACCTCCAACAACAGTAATAATGTTATCACCGATCTCAGTAGTTTTTCTTTAATAGAATTACTTATTTCATCTAATACATAGCCATCTGAAGTGTGGATACTAAAACACTGGATGTGGAAAACAATATGTAATTGTTTTCAATGATGTTGCATGCATGTTTCTATCTCATAAAGGAATAGTTTGCAGGCTTTTTTTTTAGCGATTTTACATACAAGTCAAATTGCCAAGCTCCACATAAGTATGATGGTGATTAATAATTATATTAATGATTATCAAGTAATATTGTTGGTATTTATCAACAACCACAACAATATCAAAATTACTTGGCGGCGGGTAATATTATTAAAGTTCTAAATTTCAATCCGCCAATAATTCAAGATAAAATTGTCGATTGTATCAAGCTTTAATCTATCACTCAAATAATTGGTGATAGGTATGAGGAGACAAGAACCTTATTTGAAGAAACTTACTACAAATTAAAAAGAGAAAAGGTGGGAAAGGTGGTGATCAGCAATGATGACAATAAAATAAAAATCCAATTCCAACAAGAACTAAAGGTCATCCTAAGAAAGGCTCTTATTACGAAAACAACAAATAATTCAAATTCAATTATAAATTGCACAAAATGTACTCAATAATAATTAAATAAAAACCGCTATTTTGTAGCTTAGGTTCACCAAACTATGTACTCAAGGTTCCATATCTCTAGCATTATTATTAAACTGTTGTAATGGCTAAGAAAATAAAATTCTTACTAAAATTTTTTTGACGAAAAATGATCAAAAAGAACTTTGATCACACCTGAAATGTTAATAAAACAATGATTAATTCAATATTTTGCTGACCATAACCGCTTCATTTTTCTTTGGCATTCTCAATCAATTTTTTTTGAACATCATTTGTAATGAATAATAATGGATGCGCACACCGAATTTTGAAAAATTGAAAATTTATTTAAACAAAATAATGATAAAAAAATAAACAACTAAAAAAATAAATTCTATGCCCACGCAGTCCATCCAACCCACATACAATTTAGCACAACATCATCGGTTGCAAGATCCATCAAGCATTCGATTTGTTGCTTGATGTCGCAACATGTTGTTGGTATACGTGCTCTTATATTGTGATTTGGATCACCTTTTGCTATCCTTTCGAGGCTAGAAAAGAATGGTTTGTGGGAATGGCTAACTGCCAATTCTTCACAAATAAGACCTGATCAAATATTGATATTAATATCGATATTGATAACAGTAATAAAAACAAAGATGCCAAAAAAGATCAATTAATTATGATGATGAAAATAATACAAACTTGCTGGATTCCCAACTTCTAATTTACGCCTTGCAATATTAAGTTTTTTGCGCGGATACCATTCGGTTTGAGATTGTAAATAGTCATCAATTTCATTTAAATTTTGATTTTCTTTTTTTTTTTTTTTTTTTTAAAAAAATAATTATAAATTAGCTATTGCAATTATTAAATTCTAATAAATCGCATCCTTACTTTGTTGTTTTGCTAAATTTTTTGCACGGGTTAGCCAATCTAGTAATGGTTCTTTTACAAATATTTCCATCACGTTAAGCAAGACCTCCTTGTTCAAATTCATTACTATCATATAAATGATTGTTTGGTTAATTAATTATTGATAAATATGCTTTTTTTATAAGAAAAAACAAATTACTTTGCATTATTTTGATCATAGGATACTCTAGCAAACCACGTGATCCAAGTGGTTGCATTAAAGATTCCAATTGTTTTGTCAAACGAAATGGAACTAATTCAGGAATCTCCAACGTTTCAGTTGCTGACCCAAACGCATGACCAAAATCTATGGAAATAAGCGTTCCTCTAAACAAATTTTTAAAATTTGTTAATAAATAAACTAATAATAATTATCATCATTGTTATTAAGAAGTCGTTAACTAACTTATTCATGTCCACTAAAAAATTTTCCAAATGTCTATCCCCAATTCCTAATAACAGTAACAATAAAAGCATCAATTTATTCTGTAATTAATGAATAAAAATTATCATGTATATATATATTTCATACCAATCAAATAACCACAAATGTTAATACTAGCAAGGCTTTTGATAAATTCTGATCTAAGCGACAAATACACCTCCGGAGAAGCTGCCAATTTAAGAAGTGAATTTGTTAAAACGTTTGAGCCCAAAAGTCCCTGTAAACCTTTAAAGTGCTTTATCATATCGTCGCGTGCAGCATGGATGAACATATTTTGATAATCTAATTTACATTTATATAAAATAAGTATTTCAATAAATAAAAAAGAATAGAAAAAAATGACAATGTTTATTACCAGCATAATTTTCCTCGATCCAATTTAAATGTTTTTTTTGAGCTTGTTCCAGAATACTTTCATTATTGATTTTTTTATTGATGAAGTGCCTCAAAGGTTCAGTATCGTTGATCCATTCGATTATACCAAGATTGCCAGTCATAGGAACCACCTATTATTGAATAATTTAAAATCTCAATAATAGTCATTTGAAAAAAATCCTTTATTTAATTTATAGAGATTTACTAACTTTATATGTTCTCAAATTAATTTTTTGTTGAGAACAATAAAAATCTTTACTCATTATTTTATTCATAAGGTCAAATAATGATTGAACTCTTTGATCAAGTCTTAAATCTTCTCCTCCCTTTAAATAACAATTAGATGTAAATTTATAATCAAAGGTGGTAAAAAAAAAATAAAACTTATTTACTTTAACAAGGAAATTATATTCATTTCCATCAGTGCCAATCATAGTAAGTCGTTTTGGTCGCCTTAACGACCTCAAAACCAAGACTCTAGGGTCAAAACGAGCAATCTTTACATGCCTATCCGGGTCAGGAATCATTGAACAATCATACTGGGAAGGTATTTCAATCTCCTGTTTTTAAAATAAGAAATTAGAAAATATTTGAAAAAAACTTTTAACTTGAATTCAAAATTTTTTTATAATTACTTCTAGATAATTAGATGATGAAAATTCTGCGAGCCATTTAGAATATGACTTTAATAAGTTCGAACCCTCTGAAGGCTTTTTGCTCTTTTTCTTAATATTATTAACAAAATATTCCCAAATTTTTGCTTTAAAATCATTTTGTGTCATGTCAGCTAATTTCGATCCATCTTCACCTATTATAGGAAATATATGTTAGCAATCTACTAAATTTAATATTTTCAAAGTTTCTATATTTACCGCATAAATCTATGATGATACTTGCATGACGGTTCGAAAATTCTCTAAGTTCAAAAAAATTTAGTTAAGGAATTATAATTTTTTAAATGTTTAAAAGGGGAAATGATTTGTTTATTTTTTTTAATAAATAAAAGATATTAAAATCTCCGTAATTTAGGTTATCCGGTTCAAGCACGAATGCTTTAAGGTTTTGAAAAGATTTTTTAATCTCTCTACGTTTATCTACACCAGAATCCTTTAACTTGACCAAATTCTAAAAATTTTATTAACAAGCTTATTAATTTAATAATATTATTAATTTAAAAAAAAATATAAAAGTAGATAAAGAATATATTTAATACCCAAATATTTTGGCACCAATTGTTAAAATACATTTCTGGATCAGTTAGTCTTTCCAGTTCAGTTATCAATCTTTCCAATACATCAGATTTTATTTTTTGTTGAAGCCTTTCAACAATCAACTGTCTCGCTCTTGCATCTGGATCATTTTGTTCAAAATTATAAAATTCACTACTAATTCTGAGTGGGAAGTACAGACTTTTTGGATATTCATCTGCGAGCTTTATAAATGGGAAAAAGAATTGTTATAATGATATAAAGATTACAATAAAAGTATCAAATAAAACAAAACCTTATCCAAAATAGGAAGCACACAATGCATAATAGGTTTATCCAATACTGCAACTATTTGAGGTATCCACCTTATAAATTTCCAAACAGGCCCGAACGCTTTGGCCTAAACAATTGTATGTATACAAGTATGTTATATTAAAATTTTACAAATTAAATAAAAAGTGAATAAAAATTTTACTTTTGCTAAAAAAGTCTCTTGTGTTTCTTCATAAAATTCTATGATTTGCAACAATCTAGGGAATATTTCTGAAGCTTCTTCAGAATTCAGCTCTAATGCATCCATAATATTACTCACAACATTGTTCGCATATTGTTCATAATTAAATGAAAACTATAAAAGCAACGATCAATAATTGTATTAATAATTTATCATTAAGTGAATAAATATAATTAATAGCACAAATAAAATTATATATACTTGATCCATGTTATTATCATCAGATTCGATCATACGTAAATGATCATCGCAATATTTAGCAAATTTAAAAAAAATTTTTCTTTGCAATGAAGGCTGATTAAAATATTTAAGTCATAAAACAACGTTATTATTATTGTTGTTATAAAAAATAAATTATAAAAATGTTTTTACTTTGAATCTATGCAATTCTTTTGAAGCACTTTCAATAATGTCATATCCTTTATTAATCAATTCGTCTTTTCTAATTTTAAGAGACTGCAACGAGCTTTGAGTGTAATCCTTGTTTAATTCTGAATTAAGAAGGGAATATGCTTCACTTGCTATCATAGATTTCTTTAAGTCGATCTTAGACTTAAATGACTGAAGAAATAGGTTAAAAATATATTAATTTTGATTTTCGCGTGTTTTTTTTTAAATATACCATTATTATATTATTCACCTTAAATTTGCTAAAATCTTCGATTAGGTTTGATAAAATAGAACTCTTTTTCTCGTAATCAACAGCATTGCTTGCTTCTTGTAAATGTAATTTGTATTGATAATAATCCAATTTATCTGAATCAAATTGAATAAATCGTCGGATTTTGTTTAAACAAGAGTGTGCTACTTCATAATTAACTTGTGCTCTTGCAGCAGCAGACATTTTTAACAATGATGTTCCTTCTAGTAAATCCTTTTTTTGTTTAAACTAAAGGAAATTTATAAATTAGTATTAAATTCAGACCGTTAAAATAATAATAAAATAATAATAGCCACTTACTTGATTATCTCTATGTAGACATTCAAGCATATCACGAAGAATTGATTGGCGATTAATTACAATGTCATCCCAAGTGTTGCATGAATCGAGGTATTTAGATGGATACCTAGACTTCCAAACCGTCAGTGCTTTATCAAAATTAATGTTTTCACTTTTTTCTTCGATTAAATTCAAATATTCTTCAATCTCCACAATCTAATATTTAATATTTAATAAATTAATAATAATATTATTAATGGAATTACATTATCATTTCAAATATATTACCTGCTGCAAGGAACTTAATTTGTTTAATCGAGTGCTTGTTGCCAAAGGATGTAAATTTGTCCATGAGTATAGAAAATTATCATATGATTTTCTAACATACATCCTTGCTTTATCATAATTTTTCCGTGTCAATGAAGATAAAGCAAGTTCTAAAAATGGAGACTATATTTCAGCAAATATTTAAAAATCGTTTTCAAAAAAGAAAATATTTGAATAATTTACCTATTGGAAAATGCAATTCTAACAATGATGTACGCTCAGGATCTTTCATAGCATTATCTATGAAAGTATAAAATCGTTGTTTATAGTTGTTATCATTCGTTCCATGGGTCAATTTGAAAAAGCTGTGGAAGAAGTAATTAAGATAGGAATCCTATAAAATATTAATTAAAAAAATAACGCACGATTAATAACCTTCGATAAAAATTTTGGTATATATAAAATATAATTGATTAGTTAGAGATAACTTAATAGTTAAACCTGATATTCTTCACTCCAAAGCTTTTCTAAGTCTCCATCAAGATCAACATTTACAGTCTCAGCAAGATCATCCCATTGACACAGTTTCTCATAACACTCGAATCTTCCTTCTTCCCAAGTTTCAGCCTAATTTACAGAATTTCATATTCAGTTTATTATGAAAACGCACATATATAAATATATGGTATATTCAATCAACTTATTGTACTTACTTCAATTATATTTTCTTCAATTATATTTTCAATATTTTGTTGATTTTTCAATGCTTTCAAATAATGATAACAAGCAGACGAATAATCGCCAATCATCTCAGCATTTAATGCATCTTAAAATCAAAATAAAATAAAGTTACGTTTTTATTGTGCAAATTATCCTAGTTTTGATTCTTTATAATAATAAAATATATGTATAAGTTACCTTTAGTATATTCACTCGAAGCAATGTGGCCTTCAAAAATACCTTTACAGACATCATTTCGGCCAATGTGTCTGTACAAGTAAGCCAATTCCATCCATGGCTTCTTGCTAGTTTCGATATTTGAGTTTTCAGAACGTAATCTTTTATGCTCTGTCAAAGGAAAACCCAGACAGTTAACATATGTTTAAGTCATAGTACATGGTTAAGTTATTTTATTCGTTGAAATTAAATACCTCTTTCCTTTGGAACGGGTTTCATTAGTTGTCTTTCGATTAAAAACATTCCTAGCGACTCAGTTGAGCTCATTTCACTCGCTTTTCTAATTACAGATGGATCTAAATATATTTCTGTAATCTCGTAACATATTCTGAAAATGCTTCCAATAAACGGTGGAAAGTATTTATTTGTATGGCTAAAAATATTTTTAATGTTATTTTCAAGTGAAACTTTAAAATTATCTTTATACACCTGTAATTTGAAAATCAAAAAAAAAACGTTTTTGGTCAATAAGTATTGAACAAATATGGTTAAATGGATAATGAATGATCCCTATGACTATGATTATTACCGAGTCACTTTCATCACTCATTTGTTTAAATATCGAGGTAAATAACGTAGTATAGAGCAAACGTGAAATTTCTATATCGTGCTGCGATAAGACTTGTAACGGAGAAATTATCTCGCTATATTTTATCATAATGTCAGGTAATTCACCTTATTAAACGAATAAATATAGATAGTTAATGTAATCAAAAACTCATATTTATGCAAATAAAATAAATTTGATTATTTACATACCAACACGATATTGACGAAGCATGGAAACTTGCTTATCAATAACAGTTGATGGTTTGACACGACTACTCAATTCACTACGTTTTTTCTCTATATTAACTTTTTGTTTATAGTATTCCTGTTGAGAAAGGTTTGGTGAACGTATAGTTCTTCTTCGTAATTTTTTATACGGAGAACTTTGTGATAGTCTTTAAAAAAAGAATTAAATATCATCCATCAAAGATACAATATTAAAAAGTAGAAATGATAATAATGATTTATATTACATTTGTGCATCATTCTCGTCAATATCCATTTGTGTTTGAGATGGTGTCCTTGAAAAATATTGGATTTTGGATGGAATCACAGAAAAATCGCCCAATTGAGTTTCAATTGCTGAATTCCCAAATAGATAAAGTTAAATACATTAATGAACTATTTCAAATGCTTGTTGTAAGCATCTGAATGAAATAGTTTACCTTTTTCAAGTGTCATACTAAAGTCAAAATTTTCTTTGGTTGCTTTAATTATACCTGTTTCTTTAATTTGTTGCTAATGATTTGCCCCAATCATAAATATTTAAATTTATTAAACAAAAACAAAACAAATAAAAAACAAATCACCTTGGGTTTAGTTTGTGGAGTATTAACAAATAAAGGAGTCATTGTGTTGCTCATTTCCCAAGAAGTGTCAATGTCCTCATAATTTTCATCGAATTTGGATTGTGGCAAAGGTTCTTGAAATAAAGCTCGTTTATATTCAATGCTTTTTTTTGAACGCTCGAGCAATAGCAAGCATGAGTAATTTAAAAACAGTTGTTCAATTTCAGCATAATACAATGCCCTGTTTAATTTTTTTAAAAAAAAGATATAAAGTTAATTAAAATTTTGAAAAAATTACGAATAACTTGAAATATAATTTACCCGATTGTATTTTTTAATGTTGTTTGTGTGTCTTGTGAGAATTCTGGTTGTTCATACCAGAATTGTATTAATAAGTTTTTTATTTCTTCGTTTTTATCAACTAAGCCTTGCAAAAGGCTTATTGTTAATTTTTGTTTTAAATCAATTGTTCCAGCATTTAAATTCTTATACATATATATCATGATTATATAGAATGATTTCTATGATTTTTTTAAATTAATGATTCAAGGAAAATAAAGTGAATGATCGATATAGATTAAAATAATTAAAATAATAATTGCACCATTAAAAGGATACTCTGCAATCGGCATTTGAATGGGTTTGAAAGCTATCTATTAAAGTGTCCAGGAAATGCCTTGCTTCATTAGAATCAGTGTTTTGTAGGATGCCGGCTAATATTTTTAATGTCAACAACTGATCAGAATCATTTCTATTAAACATAGAAAAAAGAAATACATGATTAAAATTAATATATATATACACACACACACACACACACATATTGATAAAATCAAATTCAACCTGTGTTTTAAAAGTCCAAGTAATTGTTTTTTACCCATGTTCAAAAGCAAATCTTTATTATTGCCTGCACAAAATGAAATGACCTTTAACGCTAAATTCTTAAAATCGCTTATTTTTGGTAACATATCCAAAACATGCTTAAGGAATTCATCAGCGATTTCATGGTCATGTATCGATATATTGTGGATAATCTTAATAAATGGCTTGATATCTTTTTGATTGACTTTAGCTTTTTCGTAAAGTGATTTTACCTATAAAATAATAATGGTAAATTATTATTAAAATAATTTAAAAGATTTTTAAGAATTAAAGGATTCAAATATATATTTACTTTTTCCCTAAGAGGTTCCAACACTACTGATATTTTATTACTATTGCAATAATGTTTTCGATAATAACTTAATACCATACCACATATCTATTTTATATTAGAATTTTAAAATCAGATATTGTTAAATCATAATAATAAAAAATCAAATATTTTAAAAATTCCCACCTCAGCTGCATGTTCTTTTATCAAATATTTTTCATGATTCGTGAGGTTTATTAATGCGCGATAAAATCTCTCTTCAGTTAATCTATTGGAACTATGGACATCTACTTGTTGAAATGGTGATTTATTATGAGCTAAAACTATTTCCATAAGTCGTAGGCCAATCCTTGCATGCTCATGATCGGTGTTGTCGATAAAGTTAAAAATTATATCCTAAAATATTAAACAATAAAATCATTTGTTTCTTGTATACCAAAATAATCTAAAAAAGTAATCTAACGATAAATTTATTCGTACCGTGGGAACATCAAAACTTTCACACCAAATATTAAAAATCTCATTTATAATTTGGAGATTGTTTTTGACAACAGACAGTGATTCGTGATAAGAGTTTTTCATTAAGTATGACTGTAAAAACATTAGGGGGGGGGGGGATTAATTAATATACGTGTGTGTGTGTGTGTGTTTATATTTATGATTTTATATTTACCACTAATTTTTGTATCGATTTTTTATCTTCACTACTTTCTAGTTTACATGTAGAGCCCCAAACAATTATAATTGTACAAAGGTCCTAAAATTTATTATGTATATAAATGTAATATTAAAAGGTCATATTTATCTATTTATTCTATTATTCTAAACTTACTTGTATAAAATAATTAATACCACCACCATATTTATCACCTTCTATCACTAAATCAATAATTTGTCGTATCCAGAATTTAGAATATTTTTCAAAAACCTCTGGAATATTAATAATTATTTTAGCAATAAAAAGATGGACATTCAAATGTGTATCTAACAAAAAAAATTTTTTCAAAATCAAATTAGCTTTCGTTTAAATTTTAATAGTTTAAGTATCAAATTTCAAGAAAATTTTGTACATTTGTTTGAAAATTTTTCATGCATATTCTTCATCCATTTTGGCATCGAATCAACAGGATCAACAGGTGGGCATATTGTTGTATGCAGATGGCTAATAACTTTGATTAACATTCTCATACAAGGATGTTGATTCAATTCATCCATTTCTAGTACAACCGAGCTGGCTCTTCATTGTATAAATAAAAAAACAATACAATGGCTAATATTATCATGATTTGCTTTGAAAAAATCTTTTAGGGATTGTATTAGATTATAAATATTACCTATCATTTGTTGCTACTTCATTAACATCAGTTGAGGTTGGATCACTTTCAATATTAGAATGTTCACGTTTATCGTTACCGTTGCCCAAAGATATTGGGCGCTAAACATAATTTTTTTTTAGTGAATTTGATGAAACTTGCAAAAAAAATCAAATGTGAATATATGTAAATAATTTATATTACTTGAGAAAAACTTGAATCTAAAAGATATTTAGAGGACAGATATTTTAATCCACTTAATTTTGTAAAACGCAAGACATTTTATTTAAAATTAATTGACATTATCAATTTATCAATATACATAATATATATAAATCTATCTTACCTTTTATTACTTTTAAAAGTAGATCCAGATTTAGCTCTAAAATCGTCGATTTTCATTTGTATAAATGGCTGGTTTAATTCTATTTCGAATTGATAAACGTTCTAAAAGAATTTATAATTTATAATTGTTAAGTGATTAAAAAATTTTCCGTATATGGAAATAGATTAATAATACCCCTAGGTTAACGATGCTTTCCCAGGTATATTCCCCTTTATTTGAATTTTCAGAAAAAAGAAATATTCTATAAAAACTCTCTTTATCTTGTGTACATAGAATCGCTGCAGATAAAGCATTGAATGCAGCGCATCGATTTCTCCATTTAGCATTACTTAAGTTTTCATTGGAAGGATCATTCTAAATAATTTGATAATAGATTGGTTCAAAATTTCTCATTAATTAATAGATAAATCAAATAATAACATATCATTGTTCCTCACATGCTCAGATTTTGATTTGACTTTATAAGCAATGTCAATTATTTTTTTTGTCAATTCTTTTGGCTTGATTTCTTTTCCTAAAAAATAAGCTTGAATAATCTCGCATGTTTCTGAATAAATTTCCTGGAATGAAATACGAAGAAATAGAACGTAATAAAAAACTAGTAGCTAAGAAAATACAAAGGAATGTCATGCTAAAAAAGTTTAAACCCCATATAAAAAACTGAATGGAAACGTTCAAAACAAAATTATTATATTATATAAAGGATATTTGTAGAAGGGTGAAACGACCTGCTTTTTCATCTATATAATATACAATTTCCAAATCGTTCCTAGGTCTTTCATCCCGATCTAAAAAGTCAACAATTTCTTTTATGTGTCTTTTAAAAAAATCTTTCATAAAAATTTTTGGTCCTCTAAGCAATGCGGTATATAAAAATAAATTTATAATATTTCTATGGTAGTTTGAAAATCTTGGGTTTAAAAAGTACCTATGTTATATCCGTATAAATGTATGTGTATAATAAATATTTCATTTTTATATTATTTTAAATAAAAAATAAATCATTAAATATTCTTACCCATACGCTATATCGGTGATTTCAACAAATTTGAGACTTGTTAACCTTTTTACCAAACTTTCAAAGGATTGTTGGATTTCCTGTTTATGTACGTGATTTTCTTCACGTATTAATGTAGGAAATAATATTTTGAAAAGGTCAACATCGCATGAATCTGCCATTGCTTTTAGCAATTTATCAAGTATAGAGATATATTCATTAAATCTTTTTCAAACTAAGGAAAAATATAATGATTTATTTAAAATTTTTCAATTAAATCTTCGTTTTTTTTTTTGAAAAAGGATACTTTCTCGTCCCTTGTGGAGGGTAGTCAGCAGACAATAAAGGTAATTGTTCATTTAAAATTTTTTGAACACAAGATTCAATCTAGTTATAAAAAAACCAATAATTTAATATAGTTCCACACATATTAATACATTGATAAAATGAAATATTACCTCTTGGAACGGTAAATCAGATAGTAAAAAGGTTGCCAATATATCTAAAGCTTCACCTTTAAATTCTAATTGCTTATTAAATCCAATAAAAGATATATATTTGTTATAAAAAAGTCGTTTAAATTCATTAGACAATGGCTTCGTAAATAAATTAGGGCTCAAGATTAAAAGATCCTTTATTAATTTCAGCAAGTATTGATCATCGTTAATGTTATCAAAACTAAGAAATATTAATCGTAATGTAATTAAGTAAGAAAGTCATAATAATTAAAATAAATATGTAATTTGAATGATACTTACAAATTCGTCAAAAAGGTAATTTCAGTAGTAAACTAAATTAAAATTGGAATATTATATATATATAAGTCAAAACGCAGCTTAAAAAACACAAGCATGTAAATCGTCTTACTTCATTTATAAACTTGTTGATTTTTTCATTGTCTTTTTTGCTCAACAAATAATCGAACAAGCCCAAAAGAATATCTTTTATGATGGGCTGTGTAACATCCTCGTTGAAAATTGAAGAAAAATTAGAAAATTGCTGTGATATATGTTCATTAATCTAAAGATATTCAATCGTTAATACAACAATATGCAAGTAGCGATAAATAATAGATAATCGACAATATACATTATTAAACATACAAATAATGAGAATTTTTGGTAGTACATGGATCCATCTTTATATGATATTCTAGAAGGGTCATTAGAGAATCCCTAATAAATATCAAAGAAAACATTAATGTGATAATAACAATTATTGCTTTGTTTTTTTTTTTTAAAAAAAAAAAATAAAAAAATACCAATAAATCACGAAGCAGCCATTTGTTAAATGTATCATTATTTTGAGAAACTACAAAAGCAAGCAGTTGTCCGGCAAATTCATTCCAAAGGGGATCTTCCATGTTACGTAAAGAAATAAGCATATTCCAAACAGCGATAATATAACTGTAGATCGTTGTGCTAGACGGACCACTTGCTCTGAAAAGTTCAGGAAAGATCCCGGCAGAACTTAGAGTTCTGTATCCTTGAGTCACTTCAATATATTTTACAGGATCTAGATTATAATTAATGTAAACAATTTCAATAACTTCACGTGAATCATCAAACCTTTTTAAATTAAATCATTTTCCTACACATAAATAACAAATAAATATACATGTATGTATGTATGTATGTATGTATGTATATATATATACCTGATTTTTTAACATCAATACACAATAAATTAAAATTATCAGAAAATGCAACTTCCGCAATTGCTTGTGTCATTTCATCCAAATGATATTGATAATTTGAAAAGGTATCCTTGCACAATTTCAATAATATTTCCAATTTATTTAAAAAGCTGTTATGATCAATTTTGTGGATAGAAGAATATTCCAATTCCAAGCTGTTGTAATCGAATAAACAATTTGCTATCATTTTAAAAAACGATGTACTATAAATTTTAGAGTCCAAGATTATTTTAATTGTTGATGGGGTTGGATTTTTAAGTAAATTCGTTGAAAAATTGATCAAGCTTTCGATACAATAAGCCTTAAGAGCAACCCACTGTAATTTATCGGTTGGTGTTAATATAAATTCAGACAACGCATCATACTCTTCGATATCATCAATAATATCGATATCCATCCTATCAGTTTTTATGCCGTCATTGTCAATACTTAACACTATTTTCTCTATGAAATAAATCAATGAATCGATAAAAAGCGAAGATGAACTGTTTATCAGAGTTTCTGAATCCACCAATTGTTTGTTGATAAGCCAGGTATAATTCTCCAAAATAGACAGGAATTGTAAGCACCATTCTTTAGAATTTTGTAGTATCAAATTAGATTCAAAATCTAGGTGTGGGACAGTAAATCGAGATTGGTACAAGTTTTTCAAATAAAAAGGATCGCTAGCAATCTTGTTAGAAATCCAACGATGGCCACTTTGATAATCTTTATAAAAAATCAAATGTGTGGAAAAAAGCTTTTAACAGGTGATATAATTATTATTTGTTGCATTTATTCGAAAATTGATGAGTTTTTTAGGTTTACCTGGTAACAACACAACAAAATCACAAAATAATTCCCTGCAAATGTTTGCGTAATCCTTTTCCTTTTTTGTAGTTTCGTTGAATAAATATTCTACCAGAGATGGTAAATCTGTTTCTTTAAGACAAAATACATTACGTCTTTGATCGGATGTAGTCAAAAATAAGTTAGATTTAACGCAAATGATTTTTTTGATGTGCCTGATCGCCACAATTGCTTGTTGCCGTGTTCCTAATGGGTTTTTAAAATTATATATATATATATACTTTAGTGAGTATATAAATATTTTAAAGTAAAATTTTACGATAAAATAAATTTACCAGTAGCAACTTGATCTTTATCAGAAAGTTTTAAATTAAGTAAAATCCAATATAAAAGTTCAAAAATATATATATCAACCAAACTTTCTTCTTCACGGAATGTCCTATAGATGTTATTGATTGACAATGATGCACCAAGACGCCTTGTGTGATCAGGATGTCCACAAAGATTATATATGCGTTTAAATATTGATTTAACATTCATAAGATCGTCTACTTGCTATATAATTATAAAATAAAATAAAATATTAATTAATAAAAAATATAGTGAAGTTACAGTCAACAACAATAATTCATTATTATATTTTTAAAAAAAAAACAGATACTGAACTGATGATTGTTTAATAGACCATAATAAAAATTCATTCAAACATTTAGCACCATATTCGCGTAATGAGCCCCAAGTATCGCATACTGCATCCAAGCAACAATTTAGTAATGCAATGGTTTCAGGATTTTCATGTTGAGCATTATTGGTGAACCAATGAATCATCTGTGATATTAGCGGACAGAATAGTTTTCTTGGAATTTGATCGGTATCTATGGCCAGTCGAAAAAGTGCAGGAAATACTTTTTTGTATGTGCGATAAAAGGGGCTCTAATATGTTATCAGAAAAAAAAAATTATATGTATAATTAAGTTTTGTTTTAATAAATTAATGAGATTAGGATTCAGTCAACCAAACCAACCTGCTGTGGACCAATTCTAGTATGAACTTGATATGCACTTTTACCAATCATAAATAACATTATTGAATGCAAAAGTTCACATGCCACTACTTTTGCTTTTCTATCTGTTGCAGATTCAGAAATTTCTACAATACGTGGTAATAGCTCATCTATAATATTAAAATATACGTATGTATATATTAATTGATTTAATTGAATGTATGTATAAAATTTATGACGAACTATACCAAGTGAGATATCAATTTTGATGTCAGGGTATGGAATACCGAAAATTAATCGTTTTTCAGGATCCCAAGCAAGATAACGATTAAACGATCCGGAATTTTTAGAGATGATTGCACTATTTAGCATTCCAATGTTGTCGATACCTTCAAACATTAATTTACTGTATCCACCAAGTGACCCAAGTAAATGAAGGATACGTATTTGAATATCACGCATTCCAACATTAGTTTCGAAATCGATTGTCTATTATATAAAAATAATATTAATAACAATAATATTAATAAAAATAATATTAATCAAATCATTACTTACGCTTGATTTACTTTGTAATTTTTTTTGCTTTTTTGCTAAACCATTTGGATTATTTGTTGTTTCTGAATTGACCAACAACAAATATTCATTTGTTACAGGCAAAATATGTCCAAGCCATCTGCTTAATGCCTCAAGTCCTTTAGTATTAACCAATTTATCAATAGTGTCTAAACTTATTTTTGCAAGTGGTTGGTAGCTTTGACCCATTTTTAATGCAATGCGTATAGGTTGTATAAGATCTTGAACATTTATGAGTTCTTTCGGAAGAGTAAGTACTAATTGAAGGCATGAACATAACAAATCATCTTTGTATTGTGGTAAACGTTCACATACTTCTTTAATGAACTTGCTAAAAAGACGATGGCTATCCAGCCTTATTGATCTAATATTAGAATCAATTTGTTTTTTATGTGATTCTTCATTATTCTATACAAATAAATATTCATTATATGAATATGTGTGCACATAACTGGAAAGTAATAAAAACGATAAAGTTGAATAAATGTTACCTTGCTTTTATGGTTTTGTAATCCATCAAAAAATCCGATCGATTCACACACGGTCAAACATGAACCCAACATCTTGTAAAAACCACTAATATACGGATAACAGGTTGATAGTAAAATTAAAGTGTTTCCAACTGTATATACCCATCTCGAGTACAATTGACATCTAACCCTGGGTAGAAATATTTGCCAAAAATCTACTAAATTTTGGAAAATTATAAAGTCTTTTGAAAACACTGGTTTTAAGCTTGAAAGGTCATTGTAACCAGCAATAGCTATTAGATTTACATCAACATTAGAATTAGTAGTATCGACATCAGATTCACTTTGATCAATTACAGTGAAATTTAATTTCTTTGTCATTTTTAAAAAGGCCTGCATAAATTCATCATAAAGAACCGAGAAGAATTCTTTGATAATTATCTTATTTTCTTCTTCATCAATTGTTAGTGATTTTTTGTCAACAACATTCAAGAAAATGGATTCTTTAAAAATCCTTTCCCAAAAATTGATCATTTCCTTATATGTGTGATCTTCCACAACATTAATTATTTCGGATGTTGAAGCGAAGTTTTTAATTGTTGATTGTTGGATTGAATCGGAACATGTTAAGATTAATCCTTTATAAACTATTTGAAAATATATTTTCCTCAGCTAAAAAAAATATGCCTAAAATAACAATGATGACGATAAAAATAATAAGAATAAAATAAAAATAATACTTACACAATCTGGACACATATTTATGTAAGTCGCCTTTGTCTTTATTAAACAAGGTCCATAAAAATTGTATAATAGAACTGATACTACGACGGCGTAGGTTATTTGCCATACAAGGGAAAAAAATTAAAATAGTTTCTACTTCGTTAACAATAGTTTCAATTAATGTGTTGAATATAGCTTCATATTCACGACCAATATAACAAAATGCTTCGATGAATAATGGAATTTGAGAAAGTGTCTGAGGAATTTCATTATCACCAAGGCTAAATTATTAAATAGTAATTGGTAATTAAATAATGGTTATTTATAGTAAATTTATTAAATTTTACTTAAGAAAAAAAAGTTATTAATTTAAACAAATACCCTGAAATGGCCCAAATTTTCGGGTTAAGAAGCTCTTGATATATTTTTTGAACAGCAATTTCCCCAATAACTTTTTTTGCTAGCGAAGCAAAATAACCAAGACCATTGATTGCAATGGAAATATCTTTTGTTTTCTGAATGTCATGCTTATCGATTATAGTTGATTTACAAGAATTCCATATATCAACAAATGTAAGGAAAAAAAACTAGATCATTAAAAAAAAAAATTTTAATTAATTAAATTTTAGATGGAGACCAAGAGTGCAAGTGAAACCGGAAAACATCACCGGGCGAATCTAGAATATTAATTTTACCTCTACACATTGACTAGTAATGTAATCATCAATTGGATCTGATTCTAAGATATTTGCTAACTGATTAATAATATATATGAGATAATTAATTTTATTGCTTTTATTAATTGTAAAAAGTATAAATATATATAAAAACATACTTGTTTCAAAAATATCCCTATTGCAGTAGTTGAATTGTTTCTGATGTCGGCGTTTTTATGTTCACGACATTGCCATAGAGATGTCCATAATTCATTGTAATATTGGATATAATACTTTTTGAACATTTCAAAATGGTCAATGATAAAATTAAATCCAGCTGAATAAATATTGATTGTAGAAATTAATATTATAATATGTTGATTAGAATATAATATGCTACAATATGCTAATTAACAAAAGATCAAATAAAAGCCCTTTACTTCTAGCAATATCATATCTTTTTTCATCTTCAATACTGCTGATGCTCCGCAAAACTGTTTGGAATACATATAATTTTTGTTTCTCTAAAACAGAATGTGGGATTAATGTGATGTCAGGTGTGATGCGGAAAAAAACAAAAGTTAAACAAATAAATAAATCAAAAAATAATTGATACCTTGATTTAACAAATGAGGAAATCCAAATAAAAACAAATGAAGACCTCTAAAAGCCAAATCAGAATATTCAGTTGATTCCAAATTATTGATGAAAACGCGGAAAATATTGGCGCTATCAGTCTCTGCGTATTCTGTGAATCGTCTTGATATGATTCCCAACAACGAAAAAAATCCAGACATCACTTTTAACAAAATAAAAATGTAAAGATTAATTTAATCATTGATTTATATAATATACAAACAGAAATGGTGATTAATTGGTTGATGGATGGATGGATGGATGGATGGATGGATGGATGTGATTGATTGATTACCTTTAAGGCTTCTAAATTTTGTTGACCTAACGAAAAAACTTTCAAGGCATCTAAATGGAAATGAAAAAATATGAAATTAGAAATCAAAAATCAAAAATCAAAAATCAACAATTAAACATATGATATTTTACTGCTTGATTATCTTTTTGATATCTAATTTTACAGGATCGACGATTCTTCGTTCGAAATCAAGCATTACAATTAATGGTTTAAATGATGCTGCTTTTACATGAGCATCCGAATCATTATGTAAAATAGAATAACACATATCCTAAAATATATAAACATTCAGAATAATTATTATTATTTGTTATTCATTAAAATTGATTCTCGATATACATATTTACATGTTTATGTTTATTTATTAAAATTTTATACCTTGATTTTAATGTAAACATTTTGAGAATTTGGAGTGATCTTTTCGATATAAAGAGAAATGAATTCTAAGAAAGCAATTTTGAGCTTGACAAGATTTGGATCATTGATACCAATAGTTTTAATCAGGAATTTCACAATTCCTTCATCAGACTCAAATAAGTAATCAGTTGCAATACCTCAAAATTGAATTAATTATAATAAATTATTTTTTGATTAATTAGTTAAAAACACTTTATTTTTGTTTGCTTATTTATTTATTTTACAATCCAATTTTGCATTATTTATATCATAAAATATAAAAACAACTATAATGATAATAAATACCATATTCTTCGACTTTGAGTTCGTTAAAAACAATTTTTTCCAAGTTTTGACAATAAATCAAATTATCTTGATCATAAGTGCTGCTACGGTTGGAAGCTTGAATTACTTCTTGTCTGTATTCAGAAATTTCTTGTAAAGATTTTTGAATTCTATCGAGTGCGTTCATTTTTATCAGTGTTTGTAACTTTTATAGAAGTGGGTTATTTATTGTTTTGAAGTACAATATTGTGACCCCAAATCACAAAAGCCAACCCTGAAATTTAATCTATTACAATTAATTTCACACGCGCAGGGACAATGGCTTCTGCGTTTTGCAGGAAACCGCAGAAACTTTTAAACGCCCACATAATTATTGCGCAGAACTAGTGTGTGAATATGCGAAATCTGTGGGTGTAACATTATTATCCATTCAATTTTGAATTTCAACAATGTGTAGAATTACAAAATTTTTCAGGGGCGACTTTCACGACTGGCATTAATTTAAGTTTTGGTCTAGATTTGCAGATCAGCATAGTTCTGCGATCATTACAATGTAACTCTGGTCAAAATTTTGAAAAAATCCCAACAATTTATGTCGATCGTAACTTATGTTAGTAAAGATTTACAGAATTTGATTATCACGGTATTATCACCACAGAAAATCATCGTCCCTGCACACGCGTTAGTTTGACTTTTTTTGTTATTGCATCATTGTTTATATATTAAAAAAAGATTAATTGTCTGAGGAAAAAAGTCTGTGAAAGCTTTCCTAATCTGAAAAACTAAGAAGCAAATAGAAATGATCCTCAATATATATATTTAATTTTTAGGGAAATCAATTTAAGGGTACAAAAAGGCACCCCATCAGGTACACGTATTAGAGTTCCAAAAAATTTATTTTTATGATAGATAATAATAAATGTATAATAAATGTATAACAATAAATAAAAATCTAATAATTAATATTTAATATAAGCTGAGCTATTAATATATGTTTGTATATATGTTTGTATGTTATAAAATAATTACTAGTAATATAAATAGTATATAAATATGTAATTTTTTTATATAATGATTCCCAAAATCCCCAAATAATTAAATAAATTAAAGAAATAAAAAATTAAATTAAATTAAATTAATTAAATAAAATAAAATTACTAATCCACGAACCTGTACAAATCATTAAAAAAATATCGAATATTAGATATATGATATTTAAAAAATAACACCAATAAAATGCATAAATGACTTTTTATTACCTTTCTTAATCATATCCATTATGTAATGCCATAAATCTACCTTTTTCAAAATTAGTTCTATTTGCATATTCATACCCATTCAAATCAGTAATGCTAGCCGTTTGAGATATGAAAGAATCTCTTCTATTTTCAACAAGTTTTAATGAGAAAACTTCTGAACTGTCTGACTCGGGATCATTTGTGACTACTAGTATTCGTCCTCGAGTATCACAAAGACAACGTAAATTATGACCTTCAATAATCTGTTCAAGAAGACCTGAATCTGCATTACGAACTTCAATAAAATTTGGTTCAAAAGCAAGTATATATGGATAGTGTAAAGCTAAATAATTTACAAACAATAATAATAATATTTAATATAAATATAACTTTTGAGTTTCACGTTCAAACAATGATGATGATGTAATATGTGTTACCAAATGAAGTCGGTATTCCTTCCCAACATATAAGAAAATCTTCTCTTGTACGATATCCATCCTTATTTACAAAGAATGCAAATTCTATCCAAATAAAAAAAAATTAAATAAAATATTTGTTATCAAATTAAATCAAAATTATATTTCATAAAAAGATCAGCTCACCATCATAACACAATAAAAATTTTCCACCACTTATACGATAAATTGCTATAGGTTTAATATTTTCTTTTTTTTGTACAAAATCCAACGTAGTATCATTTGGATTTAATAAAGCTTGTGTATCTGAAGAGTTTATATCTACCATCTCAAACCCCTTAGCACATCCAACACACAACCTTTTACTAAGAAAATGTATTGAAGTTGATGGTGTAGGTATGCAAAATTCCTGGATTTATTTTTTTTGTTTAAAATTATATTTTTTTAAGAAATAGTAATAATAATAATAATTATTATTATTACTATTATTATTATTATTTAGTTTATAAATCATTAACTACTTAAATACCTTGTATAATTTAAGGGGATCGTTTACTTTTAAGAAATCTTTAAACATTCCTTTGTTTTTGTTAACCTTGATTTGTTCAGGTTCAAATAGTCTAATAGTTGAATTAAGAGCATTTGACCGTACAACTGATACGAGTTGTTTACTGAGACAAGTACCTGACTTGAAAAAATTGGCATGAGTAATAATCTTCCTTGAACGTTTACTGGCCTGAGTGGCATCATTTGGATCCAATACTTCCATAGGATAAGTATAAAAATTTTTATCTATATTAAATAAATAAAATTTTTAATTATTATTAAAAAGCCCTAATTAACAGATTAAATTTTTTAATGTGTCCAAATTCACCTGCCAACACTAATAATAATCGATAATCTTCAAGAATATCAATTTGAGAAACTCTTTCCATTTTTAATATTTGAACTACATTTTTAACATCTTGACCAATTACATGCACATAAACTCCATTGTCTGTACCAAGAGCTAATTTACGATAATGATCTACCAGAAAAAAAAATTCAAAAATTAATTATAATCAAACCATTACAAAAATTAATGAAAATTCCTCTTCAACAATAACGACTATTTAAATCAATTTACCAAAAAAACATGCACAATTTATATTATTTGATCCAATAAAAAATTTTTTGCCTAACAGCACAGTCTTTTCAAACACCTTTGTCTCTTCATTTAAATGGTCTTTTTGTTTATAAATGTTCTGAATCCAATTCTTTCGAACAAAAGGTGTTGATGCATATAATGTTATTGAATATCCTCTCCTTCCGAGATAAGTAAAATTTATTGAAAGGTCAGTTCCTTTTTGTGAATTGTTTGGATTTTTAACTTGTAAAAGAGATTGAGATATTTTACGGCCTCCTTCTGTTGCCCCTTCTTTGACAAGAAGACTCAAAAACCCTAGAGGAATTGGCTATTAAATAATTAATAAAATAAGTAAATATAAATATACATGGATATAAATTTAATATAAAAAGATAGTTTATATACTATTATATATATAATAGTTTAATCACCTTTCTGTAAATTCTATATTGTTCAACTTTACTAACAATTTTTGTTTTTACCATCAACAAAACATGATCAAATAAAAACACTTGTATATCAGAATTATCAGTTTTTTTTTTCAAAGCACCCCTAAAAATTATTTGTCGTCCTTCTGCGGTGAGATTTAATTCCTGTCAAAGATAATGTTAATTAATTAATACAAGAAAATCAATTGCTTGAAAATAAAAATCAATATATATTTTACCTCGTGTTCTGTTCCTTTAAGAGCTAGTTGATCGTTTAATTGTTGTAAATGAAATCTGTTCTCTGATTTACCAGATTCCACATTAACCATTGATAAAAATTTTTTAATTATAGTAATAACTTTTTGCAAATTAACACGATCATCATTATCTCTTGGAGTTTGTTTGAGAACAGCTTCAAGTAGCAATGGGTATCGACCAAGACGTGTGGTAGGTTTTGTAAGGTATCCATTAAGTTCTAATTTTCTTGATTCAGGACGACGTTCAGCATCCTTTTTGTAGACAAATTAAAAAATTAATTTATAAAATAATAACAATGATGATGATGATGACGATGAGGACGACAATGATGATAAATACTTCAACAAATTTGGAAAATGCTTGATTAATACATTTTTCCCTTTCAAATTCATATCTTCCCCATATTTGATGAGCGCCATATCTAATAAAAGGCTCAAATGATGTAACGTGTTCTAAAAAAATATCGCCAACTCGTCCAACAATCGCATATGAATTTTGACGTTTTTGTAATGCATCGGCTAATTGTGAATTGACATTATAAATTTCCATAATATTATGAAAAACATCTCGAATAAATTTTTCTCGTCGAAACTCGGGAATAATATTTTGTGTTAAAAGTGGCGTTATCCAACACTATATGAAAATAGAATAGAAGAATATCAATATTGATATCATTAAATAATCATTATCGTTAATATATAGACACACATATATATAACCCACATTTTTTAAATATTCTATGTCACGAACAAAATCTTTTTCGGTATATATCACTTCGTTTATAGCTTCTTGACGCTTCTTTTCTTGATCTGATACTGAGTTTGCAATTTCTGGGGGTACTGAATGAATCCATAATTTTTGATCCTTATGAATAAATAATTATGAATAAAGTAATTATAAAATCTTGTATAGATAGATGTGTATATGTATATATGACAATGTACAAATTTTCAGGAAAAATAATTTTTATTCGAAACTTAAAATATTAACGTTACCTTTTTCTCTGATAATGAACCGCGACTAAGAGAACGTTTTGGCTTCATGTTTTTTCTTGTATGCTATATAATTTAATATATATATATATATAAATTAAATAATTAAAAATAAAGAATGACTTCCTTTATTTTGAGATATATAGATGTTGTGTTATGATTTCCTAAAACATTATACAATTACAAATATATATACAAATACACACTTGTTCCAACCTCCTTGGACATGCAATGCTATAGCATAAGCTATCTTTGGTGCATGTTGGTGAGTAGCAATCGGTTAATAACGTGAAGACACCATTTGGTAAATCATCTGTATCATCATCATCATCGTCAATAATACCATTATTAAACTCATCATAATCATCATAATTATCAGGTGATAAAATAGAAGGCATTTTGCTAAATTGATACAACTCATTTGGAGAATCTCGAAGACGGTGGTCATAAGTTACATCATGAAAAAATTTTTGAGAATCTAAGGCACGTCCAAGTAATAATGCCAAATTTCTATCTGTAGTTTTAATTATAAATGCTATTTTATCCTTGAAAATAAAAATAAAAATATTAATATTATATTTTACTAAATGTATATTTTATTAATACAAATATATATAAATAATATAAGAAAATTTATATTAAATATATCTATATATGCGTATGTATGTATATATACCACAGCTTCTCTACCATCAAAACAAAAATTATACTCTATATCATCTTTCATTCTATTTGACAGAATGACTCTGGCTCGAAATGCTTCAGCAACTCTTGATATTAATGCAGGATATACAATGGGAACGGGATGCTTTGATGCAGTTGATAAAGGTGAGGAGGGAGGAGGATTTGGTTCCATATAAATAATAAATGGCGATGGTTCTGGATAAGAATGTGAACGATACCGATGATCTGTTCTTGAATGAAGTGGTGAGGATACCTTTGGTCTCTCACGAAAACTTACTGCAGTTCTTCTTGGCATGATCATATCGTTTGAATAATTTGGCGGTATAGCAAGGTTCGGAAAAGACATCGTATATTGAATTTTTTGGTCTAAAGAAGAAAATGAGAAAGCGAACGAAATTTTTTTGAATTTGGTAATAGAAAAACGAGGGTGTTAAAAAAATAGGGAGTGAAATAAAATAATAAAAATACGGTATGTCACAAAGCACATGATATATATATATTAATAAATGGGGCATGCTTGCAACAAAGTGGAAATTGTATTACCAAGAGTTTCAGGGATCAAAATTTAGTCATTTGTAGTGTGATCATGTGATATTCATCTACATTAGATCTAAAAAGTATAGAAGTCACTTTCTGCCCTATCTTTTAAAAAAATAGCTCTACTAGTTGATAGAATAGGTCTTTAACGTTAATGTAATATGAGATATTCTCAAAAAAATTATTTGTTGTAGAGTTCTATTCTTTTTTAGTACATGTATTTTACTATGTAGGGCTTCTATTCGAATAAAATGAACGATAATAATAATAATAAAATTAATAATAATAATTCGAATAATCCAATCCAATTAAAATTTTTTTTCTTATCACCTATTTTTCCTTAGTCCTTGAATATAGTGATAATAATAAATAGTAGTAGCTGACATTTTCCTTAAGTCATAGTACTAGCAATTATAGTAGTAAAATAGATTATAAATATAAATATTGTTTATATTATCTTGTTAAAGAAATAAGACCTATATTTTATAAAATGAATAAACTAGTAATTGAACAAAAACGGATAAAACGAATAAATTTTTTAATTCGAATTAAAGATTGACTGTATTACGAATAATTCGGAGGTATTATTTGATGGATTTAAGAATTATCGCATTCCATCTTCATGGCAAGTTGTTAACTATTACTATTAACAATTGTTGATGATTTATATCCATTTGCATGGGTGATTAATAATTTATTTATATTAAACTACAGAAACCACAATAGATGTCTATGTGATGTACCTTGGACTTAGACCGCTAACATTGATCAATACAATTCTATAGACAGCATTACAAATGATATTGTCACATTTTGTGATAAATTAATTGGTTGATCCAAAAAAACATAATAATTGTGAAAATCGATAAAATTCTGGATGTTAAAAACCAAGTAGCAGTAGAAACATTGTCATATTCAGCACTAAAAATTTACTTCATTTTAATTACCATTAGGATAATAATAATTATTATTATTTGTATTAATAATAATTTCACGCACAAGATGTTGGATTTTATAGCGAGCAGCAGATAAAGAATCAATAGTAGAAATAAATTAAGCCAGATCTTAAAAATTGCTTTTAATATTAAAAATATCTATAACAATTTAACTTTCAAATCAATAAATTCTGGCTAAATTTTTATAAATATCCTCAATTGTGTAAAATTTCCATGATCATTCAAAAAATATATTTAATTACAATGTCTTTTTTTGAATTTTAATTAGATGTCCAAACAAATATAGTGAAAAAAAATTTTTTTTTAACTAATAATGCCTTTCATGATATTAAAGGTTTAATTAAAAATTATTTGATCTTTGAATTTCATCATGTATATGATGGAAGTATTGGAAGCCGCCTTGCCCACTCTCTCAATGCCCACATCAATTATTTTTGCCTTTTGTTTATCAGAGTCAATAATTATTCTTTGTGATGTGAAAGTGTTTCCAATGACAACTTCATATTAACATGCCCAAGATTTGTTCACATGCCGTAATCATTCTTTAAAAATAATTTACATTTAGACTCTATTAGCTGAGTGATGGTCTGTTCTAATTCACTTGCTTGCTCATTTTTTTGCAATGATGATGACCTGGAATAAACTATTTCTCCGGGAACTTGAAGCCCTGCGTTAATTTGTGCTTGAGACATCATTACCTCTTCTTCCAACATATTGTTTATATAATATAATCATTTCGAGCAAAAAAAATTTCAAGGATCAACATAATATTAGCCCCAGAAATATTACAATGATATACTTTTCAATTAAAAAGTTGGATATTTTTGTAAAGCTAATAAATAACACACGCACACATACATTACATATAATGCATGATGTTTTATTTAAACTATTTCTTTTAACACATCCGTTCTTAACTCTCAGATTGGCTAAATAACTTGATATGAGAGTTAAATAAGTCATTCAGTTTTTTTTTCCCACAGCATTTATTTACGCCTCGGTTAAAGCAAATCCTAATAAACCTATTGAAGAGCTTTATTTTACCCTGCTCCATGTTTTGATTTCAACAAAATAAAGACAAAAAATTGCACCTCTGGTCATTAATAAACAACATGTCCTCTTCCCTATATCTTTCAGAACAAGCCATACCAAACAACATTCATGTTCCTTATCTTTGGACTTTTTGTAAAAAATTAATTGTTTTTCCAAAAAAAAATAATAATAATAGTGCAACCATCGCATAAATTGTTGTGTATATTAGTAATGTTGATCAACAATAATAATTTTTCTTTAAAAGAAAAATTAAAAATACAAAGAAAAGAGTCAAAAGGAAAAACATTGAAGAAAAGAAATGGTATTATTCATTCATTTAGGATGGTTAGCTTGATCGTCAAATAGTACGAAAGTGGGATAATGAATGTAGATTAACCACGTGAGCAATAAGGTAATGACATAATAAGCTTTTAAATTTATTGGGAATTTTCGCTTCTTGTTTGTATTAATTAACAAAAGAATACAACCCAACCAAATCAGTGCAACATACTTTGCAACAATTTAGAAAAGATTGACAATGTTTTGATAATATTTAGAAAGGATTGGCAACGATGCTATATCTCTTTGGAAATTTTCGAAAGAAAAGGGAAAAATTTCGTTCACAAACTATATAGTAATAATCTGTGTGGTATTTTTTCTAAAGATTAAATATTACTCAATTTGTAAATCAAGAAAATAGAATCTATGGGGTTTATTGTTTGTTGTTGCATTTTCTCACGATGGAACCTAAATTGGGAATTTCACATTATACTAATTTAATACTAGTTAAAAGATCTGCAATCAAAATTTTCAGATATTGTTGTTGTTGCTTTTTAAATTCATATAAAATTAATTAATTCCATATCACCACAAAATTTCAAAAAAAAAATGGCCGTTCAAAGTTATGATGTAGCGGTGTCTTTATTTAATATGATTTTAGATATATTTTTTCGTGAAATAAGACCTCGTAATTCACATAAAATACCAAAGGAAGGTCCTATAATTTTTGTTGCAGCACCTCATGCAAATCAGGTAAAAATGCCAATTATTAAAAAAAAAGTTGGTTCAATAAAAACTACCAAAAAAAGAGGAAGGAATACTTCTCCAAATGCACTACTGCTCACCAATAAAAGCTATATTAGAAAACTTTCGAGATTTATGTGCGTATACAAAAGTTGAAATCTACGTTACCATTATATTTATATATATGTATTTATTCAAGTTTGATATTGATTTTGGTTTTAATTATTTGTTTTATCAAATCAATCAATATATTGGATTGTGATGCATGGTGTTTGGGCGGGAATAAAAAATCTAGCAAAATTATTTTGTAAATGGATAGATTTATACGGAAATATTGAAAAATCATGAAATTTTATTAATTAGCTATTAATTGATTTCATTAATTTATTATTAACCTAACTTGTTTTTTTATATTGTATAATTTTATATATATATCAACCAGTTTGTTGATCCACTTATTTTGATGAGACATTGTCAACGTCGTGTTTCATTTTTAATAGCAGAAAAATCAATGCGACGTAGATTTATCGGCACAATGGCTCGTGCGCTTAATGCTAGTAAATATCTAAACTCATGGGGTTATTTAACTTGATTTTCTAAATATTTCATAAATTAATATGTATTTATATATATATATATATATGTATATATATATATATTTGTCAGTTCCAGTAATAAGACCTCAAGATTTAAAAAGAAGCGGAAAAGGAAGAATTCAACTTTTAAATCGTAAATCTGAACCTACACATATTATTGGAATGAAAACAGAATTTACAAAACAATTAAAAGTTGGATGGCGTATCTCCCTTCCACAAGATCTAGGGTCCTCTGAAGTCTTGGAAATAATATCTGACACTGAATTATTACTGAAAAAAGAAATTAAGGATCTAAGAGCTTTAGAGGTATTGACATGTTCTGAAGGAACTGCATATTATTGTGTACCTTGTGTTGATCAAAGTAAAGTATATAATGCTGTTTTTGAAAGATTAAATGCTGGTCATTGTATTGGGATTTTTCCTGAAGGTGGAAGTCATGATCGTACAGAGATTCTTCCACTTAAAGGTAAATTAAAAGTGCAGATATTTATTTAGTTTGTGATTATTTATTATAAATAATAGCACTTTTGTTATAATCATTAGCTGGTGTCACAGTAATGGCTCTTGGTGCGATTGTTGCTAATCCTAAACTTGATGTTAAAATTGTTCCCTGTGGTTTGTAAATCTATTTATTCTAAATTTTTCAATAATAACATTATCATTTATAATTATGATGATCTTACTGTTATTTTATCTAGGTTTAAATTATTTTCATGCCCATAGTTTTCGTTCTCGTGCTGTTGTAGAATTTGGAGAGCCTATTTCTATACCGAATGATCTGGTAGAGAAATTTAAAGAAGGCGGTCCCTCTAAAAGAGAAGCATGTTCTAAACTATTAGAAACTATTTATGATGGATTAAAATCTGTGACTGTAAACACACCAGATTACGAAACATTAATGGTATTATTAATAAATAAATTACGCATGTAAAAGTATATGTATGGATTAATAGAAGTATTTAATTAGTAATATTATTATTCTTTTACACAAGTTTATTCAAGCTGGACGTCGTTTATACAAACCAGCACATAGGAGGCTACCAATTTCAGGAATTGTAGAATTGAACAGACGATTTATTTATGGGTATGAACATTTTAAAAATGATCCTAGGGTAGAACAGATGCGTAAAGAAATCATGTCATATGATAAATTATTGAAATACCATGGTTTGAAAGATCATCAAGTCAATAAAACTGTTATGGGCGGTTATCGAGCAGCTGGATTATTTTTTTATAGAGTTATGTTGTTAACAACATGGAGTATTTTGGGATTACCTGGGTAAGAATTGAATTTATATTTATAATAAAAATGTATGTGCAAATATATTTACTAATATAACAGTTGATCAATTGTTTATTTATTAAAGTTTTATTTTAAATCTGCCAATTGTATTGATTGCACGTAAGATTAGTGATAAGAAAGCAAAAGGTATTTTTATATACATGTTTGATATTATGATCATTATCTATTATACTTGCATACTTTAATAACTTACTTTCAAAATTACATAGAAGCAGTTCTTAATTCATCAATTAAAATAGCAGGCCGTGATGTTCTTGCCACTTGGAAACTTCTAGTTGCATTAGTAGTTACGCCTATTGCATACGGGTTTTATACATTTGTTGTAGTGATTATATCAATTAGAAAAAAATGGATTTTAAAGTGGAAAGTTGTTGCGCCGATTGTAACATTTTGTACATTAGTAACAGGAAGTTATGCTACAATGCGAATTCTTGAAAGTGGAGTTGACATTTACAAGTAGGGTTTTATTTATTTGTTAATTAATCAATCAATCAATTAATTAACTATTTATTTATTTATTGGAATTTCTTCCCAAAGATCAATCCGACCTCTTTTTCTCTCATTACTTCCATGGACAAGAACATCCATTCAAAATTTACGCGTTGTACGAGAACAATTGTCAAGCAATTTAACTAATTTAATTAATGAATTGGCGCCTCAACTTTATCCTGATTTTGATGTTGAACGTATAATACAAGCAACTGAAAGATCATCGTCGTCGCCACTATCATCGTTATCAAAGAGTATATTCCAACCACCAATTGATTGGATTGATGATATGTTATTTAATTCAGGAGATATATCAGAGTATGATGATGTGCTTTACTTTCTAGAAAAGAAGAATGGTAGCGTATCAGCAGGACGTAGTAGAGCTAGTTCGATCGCTAGTGGTCAAAGTTCAAGACAAAGGAGTCGAACAGTGTCGTCAGAAGCTTTCCGTGTTGAAGCATTCACAAAATTACCCAAGGATAAACTGTTCTCAGAAATACATGAGCGAACTACTACTAACATTGTTTCTGGAAAAATTAATGATAATGATAATAATAATAATAATGAAGATGATGGGTATCAAGGTGACAAAGAAGATGATAAAATAAACAAAGTTGATTGATTAGAAGAAGCAAAAATTTTTGAAAACTATTTTATTTATTATTTAATGTTATTTAATAATATATATTACTTATTATACTTTTATTGATTTCTTAGAAATACTTAATGTTATTACTATAATTACAGATTAAAAATAAAAATAAAAATTACAATTAAAATGATTTTTTTATATGATAACATAAAATGTTAAATTTTCAGTTTTTGGTGGTCCGACTTGTTCAGTAGGATTAGACTTGTAAAGTGTTTTCGTAATTTCTTTCTTAACACAACAATAGGAAGGAATCAATGAAGAAGTTGCAAAGGAATTTGCTGTTGATATAGAGCTACCACGATCATAAGAATGTTCAAAATTTGCTGAAAACTTTGCATATGAAGTTTCTGTTGTTGATTGCCCTGTAGGCATGTCATTAGAATTGAAAGGCGTTGCCCTTTCCTCTATGCTAATAAGATAATGATCAGGAATTGAAGAAAAAGTTGTTGTCTGCATGGGATTATAATAAGAATCAAATGGTGCTACTGTTAACGTGGAGTTATCGCGAAAATCATCAAAAGGAGCTGCAGAAGGAGATTGAAATGGGTAGACTGAACCATGTGTATAATTGTTGAGATCAATGCCAAGATGGTTGTAGGTGTTATCAGAATGGTTGTCATCAATATAGGTGTTATCAAGATGGCTGTCATTATCGACATCAATATTAATAATACAGATGCCATTGTGATCGACATTAGACGGGTTGCCTACATAAATGGTTGATGTTTTTGTTTTTATTTTTGGTTGCCCTATTTCTTGGCCGGTATAGTTGTAGGATGTTCTTGTAATTTTTTTCTCAACACGATAATAAGAAGTATTACAAGGAGTTGTTGGTATTTGTGGTGTATCATGATAATAAGAACGTTCAAAATTTTCCGAAACCGTTGCAAAAGAACTTTTTGTTAATGGTCCTATGGACATCTGATTAGGATTGACGTGCGTTAGTGTCTCCTTTATGTGAATAACATAATAATAACAAATTACTGGAGAAGGTGTTGCTGCTGGCGTGGGATTATCAAGAGGAGTTCCGGAAGAAGATTGGGCACCCACTATAACATGTTTTACATCAATATGTGTCGACATTCTTTTTTAAAAAAATTTACACGGCAATAATATATATAGACTTGCCTTGGCTATAATTACCATTTCTTACACATGGTATACGGCGTTTTGTGCAGTAATCACATTCATCAAAGGATGAGGAACATTTCCGTTTTCTTTCTTGACATTTCTCGCAGGGGTTTTTAGTATATGGCTTAACAACAACTCGAGGCATCTCACTGGTAAAAAATAAATTAACAATGGTTAAAATGTTTCCTTTTATCAAAAGTTTGTAAAATCTTTTTTCTAAACTTACCAAAGTGTGCAAAAAAGATTCTTGAATTAAAATGTAACAGTCTTACTAGATAATGATAATATCAACAACGGTCGACTTCTCTTATATTTCCAAATTCAAAGTTTTATATACGATTAGTAAATGCAGAAGAGAGAGAATAATAAATGAATAAAATATTTAGTGTTTTACCTTTAAAAAATTATTTTTTTTAGAGTAATGAGAAAGGATAGTAATAGTAAGTGAAAAATTCATGTTAATATACATGAGAGGAAAGCGGAATTGTAAATAATAATAATAATAAAAGTGCAGATTTTGATTAAAGATGAAACGGCGGTAATATAAATACCGTAAGTTCAGAAAGATAACACCCCCACCACCTACTTTAAAACAATTGAAACAACCATTGCACAGTTATAAAAAAAGAGGTGCTATCTTTCCAAACTTTACGGTATTACAAGATTGGTGTCACTCACCAGACTAGATAACGAAAAGTGCTTTGCTCCAAGACATGATTAATGATAATATTAATGTTAGAAAGCTTAAGCATAATATATTCCTCATCATCAATTACTTTCTCAACCTTTGAACGAAATAGTATCATTTGTTCGGGACTTGGTAAAGGAAAGTTTTGGATTTAGCATTCAATCAATTGGCAAAAATGAGTTTTTTTTTTTGAATTTAATTAATGTAATAATAGTTAATAATTATGCTATACCTTTTTTGGTATTAAATGCATGTGATTGGCTGCGCCAATTTCTATATATACTACTTTTGGATAATTAAGCATAGCGGAAATTCTATTTATGTCACAATTTGATGATCACTGTGATAAATTTAATTTATGTTGTACGACGTAAATTCATAATTGTTTAAAGTATATACTCAAAATACGTCAGGTGTAACACCATTCATTAAACAACTATTTTTAAAAAAAATTATCTTTTCCTTACGCACTTTCATTTAAAGATTTGGGATATGTTTGGATGCAAATCAATCTAAAGGTTACATATGAAGCAAAAAATTGTATAATTTTTAGTCAGATAAACGGAATTCAATATAAATATATAAGGTATATAGATAAATTTATTATAAAATATATGAGTGATATGATATATATAAGGACAAGCAACATATATGAAACATGAATATAAAAGCTAAGAATGTTTTCCATTCATTTACTAATTCATTCCTTCTTTTTCAATCTATTTTCTTTTGTTCCAACTTTAAGATCAAAATTACAACCTTCGTAGAGAATAAATTATT